TGGTCTATGGTTAACTCAACAGATTAAGGTATGGTGCAAGATATGATAATTTTCCATGGTTGTTGAATTATCTCGTTTTGTGACGAGATCGTTTTAAGTGAAATTGTCAAGCTGTCATTCACAAGTATACACACAAAAATTTTGGTTCTCAATCACCCAAATATGAGTCTCCATTCTTATTATCATGCTATTTTCAATGGCCGATATTAAAGAATCCATTCATGAAATAGATGTTCTTTTACGAATTAATTTCTACAGAGTTGATATGAGTCAGTTATGACAGTTCAAATATATTAATAAAAGAACATTTTTCTTTTAGTTTAGGCCTTGATTTCCCATAACATGAATTTTTCTTCTTGTTTTCTAGGCAAAAAGAAAAAAATTTGTGTGGTACCAATATACTGTACACACTTCCACTTTCTTTGTTGTTCTAGTAGCAGCTCAATCACTTGATACTTCCACATAGGTGTCCTATCAGAGCCCCCTTTTCTTTTCTGGGAAGTGGTATGGACACTTGAACTAGCATATTATCCTTTGCTTGATCTCATGAATTGAAGATGTTGCTTGTATATAATTTGGCAAATTGAATATTCAAGTTTGTTCTACCATGTGCCTGTGGAAATTTGTTTTATCTGATGGTGTAGGCTTTGGTCCTGTTGGCTTTATTGATCATGAATTTGCATGTTCATCATCTTGCCACAAGTTGAGGTGATTCTAAATGCCTTAATTTTTGTTAGGTTGTAGCTGCCAGGGCATGGACCAAATGGGAAATGATGACTTCTCATCTTCTCCCAAGTGAGGAGACAATAAAGAGAGGGGATGATGACGACTTTTCTCTGGTTAGTTACTCTGATGTTTGATAATATGGTTGCATCGTATAGTGCGGTTAGAATTTGAGACAGTTATTTCCATAAAGTTAGCTAGACTTTTGCCCAAGTGTAATAGACAATTATTTCTATAAAGTTAGCTAGACTGTTATTTCCATAAATACTTGGTTAAGTTATGAAATCCTAATTGCCCAAGTGTAATAGAGTTGATCAGGATTACAAGAACTTAAAAATGATAAAGGGCATTAGTTTTGGGTGTCTTTGAATTTAGCATATCTATGATTACCTATTTTAGAATTGGAATTAGATTTTTGAGAAGACAATAATAGGATCAATTGGTGATTGGAGATTTATACATTCCTCTAATTTCAATGGTATCATTGTGATCCCTAACACAATGCATAAAAGAGAGAATGAATTTGTAGAGTGTAGCAAACCTAGGATAATTAAGTAACAGATTATTGGCTTTGTCAAGATACATATTGCCTCTTGACTACAACCTATGCTTGGGGTTTAGTAAATCTAATGTGAAAACACAAAGAAATTTGAATAAAATGAAGTTTATCAGCATCTTTGGTAGTTTAACTTGTCTTTTTTAACTTGAGTGAGATGCATGTATAACATTATGGGTCATAGCGAATATTTTTTCGTTGACTTCACTTACTAATGTGTTTATTGTTATCATTGTTGCAGTTGCATTGACTTGACATTAAATATTTCAAGAGGGGTCCTGAAGGAAACAATATTCATAAGACTAATGTACTCAATATGAGGACTTCCTTTAGACACGAATTAACTTGACATGTAGTTAAATATTTTGGAAAATTTGTGAATATAATTGTTGGATATATTGGAGCCTTAGACGAATGGTATAAGTTGTGTTTTGTGGAAAGTTTTGTTTCTTATGCCGTTATCGTAGTATTGGTATTTATATTGTGGCTAGTTTGGGATTTGTTGTTATGCTGGCTGAAAATAGGGCATATGTATTAGTTATGTTAATTATTGATGGAAAAATAGGTGACATGTTTTTATTAGTGTTTCTTATTAGTTGAACACAGGTGCCAAATTTTTTTGGAAACCTATTGTTCAAAAGGGTTATTTTTTTTTTAAAAAGTAATTTTTTTGCGACGAAAATTAATGCGTCACGAAAGGTTGAAAGTAAATTATATTTCGCAGCGATTTATTTTTTGTCACGAAATATAAGTATTTGCGACGGTTTTTTGGTTGCGTTGCCAATGGATATGGTAAGTACACAAAAATAATTTCTACGACAATTTTCGTTTACGTCGCAAAAAATAATTGTTTGCGACGTTATAGTTGCATAGCAACGATTCATTTTCATCGTGAGATATCATATAAATTATTTAATTTTATTTTTCTAGTGACCTTAGAATTTAATTTTAACGACGTTTTTGTTGTTTTTTGTGACGTTTTTATTGCGTCGCGATAAGTTTCTTTTGCAATAAAAAAAGGATTTTGTCACAAAGTTTTTTATGCGATGAGGCTACTGCGACGACGCCTCGACGAAATAAAATCATCTCAAAAAATGAATTCCTAACATTTTTTTTAATTTTTTTAGACGAAAAAAATCGTTGCAAAAAATAAATTTTCTTGTAGTGTGTAGAATCGTGCTCTGCCAAAAGATGACCGGCCTATAGAGGTTGTGTTTTTCTTGAATCTTGAGAATTAAATCTCTTTAAGGCCACAAGCTACACTGGCTTGAACAACATTTCTAATTCTGCCAAAAAGTGATTTGGATATTTTGAATAAGTTGAGTGAATAGAATAGTCATGAGCGTAATAGGGAGATTAGGATAACCCTCTTGCTAAAAGGTAGTGGAAGTGTCTGAATCAAATTAAAACACGATTAACTAGGTCTATGCACGCTTGACTAGTGTGACCCTGGGAGACTAATAACATGTTAAAATCTCTACCAAAATGTGAGACTAGATGATGTACCTTGTCTGTTCTTGTAGGGTGAAAAGTTCATACATAAAAGTAAAACACTCTGATCAATTCAACTTAAGCATGGATTGAAACATTAATTTTTTTGCGGTCCCTCTTAAAGATATGACGTTGATTACATTTCTTGTCAATACAACTATGAATAATACTTCAATCTATAAAAAAATAGCAGGGATAGAGCCACTGAATGATTGTAATTATTACAATTGGCGTATGAACATTGACCTCATGTTGGGGTCTGAAGATTATGATTTTGTCATCTTTGATGATGTGCCTGAGGCTCTAGATGAAGAAGCTACAGATGTAGTAATGGCTTATTATGCCAAGTGGAAGAAGGTCAATCGAATGACTATGATGATCATTCAGGTATCTATCAACGAATCTCTACGAGCGCTTTTGAGGTTATTGCTACTGTGAAAGAGCTTCTTTTAATGATTGAGAAATAATTCATTGGGATTAAGAAATCCAATTTGGTCCTAGTGTGTTTTGTATCCAATTTATTAGATGTCCCTAAAAATTCTTGGTGAATTGACTTAGATGCCTTTGTGCACATCACCCATTTCTATGCTGGGGTTCACAAGTAAGAGAAACCCATGGCCAGAGGATAATCTGTTTCTTGGAAATGTGCAGGCACTAAAAGTTGAAGCCAACGGGTATTATCGACTAGTATTAGATTTTGTTTTTTCTTTGATTTTAGAGTACATCTTTTATATCTTGTCATTCTGGAGGAATCTTAGACTTGATGCAGTTGGTTATGGTTTTATGTTTAGGAATGCTTTGTTATCTATTTATTATGGTTTAGACATTGTTGGTCGTGGTTTGTTGATTGACGTGCTATATCATATTTTTTTAGATGGTCTTATGCATATTCTCTTTAATCTGAATCCTTGAATTCATCTAGTCTTAAGAGTCCTCATACTTCAAAGAATTCCTCTATGTTGTGGCATAAGAGACTAGGCAATATTTCTAGAAAACGATTGGAATTACTAGTCAAAAAATATATTTTAGATCCCTTGGATTTTTCTACTTGTGAAGATTGTTTTAAAGAAAAAATGCTCGAGTAGAGAAAGTTGGAAGCATTTAAAGCCTCGGGGTTATTGGATTTAATTCATATAGATATTTGTGATCCCTTTCCAATTCCATCCCGTGGTGGTTAGCGTTATTTCATAAGTTTTATTGATGATTTTCCAAGATATGCTTATGTCTTCCTAATTTATCATAAGTCTGATGCATTGTATTCATTCAAGTCTTATCAAGTTGAGGCTGAAAAGCAGTTGAATAGGAAGATCAAAGTTGCTTGATCCGATAGAGGAGGAGAGTATTATGGTATGATGAATCGTGATGGTGTAAATCATGGAGTGTTTGTGGAGTATTTAAGGGAACAAGGTATAGTTCCCCAATACACACATCGGGAACACCAAATCATAATGGTGTTTCAGAAAGGAGGGACCTCACCTACCAAGATGCTATTCGGAGTATATGATAAGTCATTCTGACTTACCAGAGTCATTTTGAGCTGAAAACTTAAAGTTCACGGTTTATATCTTAAATCAACTTCCTTGTAAGGCTATTCCTGAAACTCCATACAAAATATGGACTGATATAAAACCAAAACTTGGTCACATTCATGTTTTGGGATGTCGTGTTGAGGCCAAGTTATATAATCCCGAGATAAAGAAACTTGACTCTAGGACCGTCATTTGCTATTTTTTTTTATACCCCGAAAGGTCCTTAGATTATAGATTTTACTGTCTATCTAGACATATTATGATAGTTGGGACTGGTCATTCTAAGTTTTTTGAAAATAATCATGTCAATGGGAGTTTGAAACATAGAAAAATTAATTTTCATGAAAATAGTAGGATTTAATTTATAAATTTTATTCTTTATGTGGATGACATCTTATAGACTGAAACTAAGGTTGCAATTACATTCACAAGACCTTTAATCACTACAGACATAAGAGAAGCGTCACTTCCAAACCAATTGTTCTAAACAGTACGGGAGCATAAAACATAATCACATTGATGCTGGTAAGTTGCTGAAAGAAGGGAATTAGGAAGGACATGCAAAGTTGGGGTTTGTACTTCCTTTCGCAGAATAGAATTATCCAAGGGTGCTTCACTTTCTTAGATGCCTCACTAGCTGCAACTAAATCATTGAACTTCTCATCGACGTTTTCCACACCGCGAATTCTTTGAAGTTTAGCTCAAGCCTCTTTTGTCTTGCCATGCTCGATCAACAAGTTTGGTGTCTCAGAAGGACTAGTGACCCAACTGTGATTATAAGGGTCGGGACCATAGCACCTCCCAAGCTCAAACGCCACCCCCAGCTGCCATCAACCTTAGCAAAGAAGTAATTCAGCACATTGGCTATGAGGATACCAATTGTGATGGACAAAGCCGATGTTAAGGGCACCACTGTATTTGGAAGGGGCCATCTCAGAAAGGTATAGTGGCACAAAATGTGAGGCATAAGCACAAACAAACTAAAATATATCAATACCATATGCAGTTATCAATTGATTAAGTAGACAGAAGAAAACGAGAAAAAAATCAAAAAGAAGAAAACATGTCTAGTGATACAACTAATCCGTGTTATTGTTTTATCAAATATGAAGCCAATCAAACTTATAATTCAGATCAGTTTATCAAAGTTATTTTTATAAGAGAACTGGTATCAAAATCCCAGGAAAAAAATCATAGAAACTTGACACATAAATATAAGAATTTGTTTAGAGTCAGCTTTATAGTAAAAATACATCTGTCAGCTTGGAAACACATTTGTCTGATCAGTTCTTTTCAGTAAAAATCTGAAAATAGTAATAACATGTTCCAAGCACTTTTCTTGTTCCCAGAAGCCAATCGTAATAGAGTTGTGCTTTTGAAAGTTAAGAGGCATGCTTCAAAATTGATAATAAGTTCTCAAAGTAGGGAAAAAAGTATAGAAGGACATGGTACAAGACCTGAACAAGCAAAAAATTGATACAATCATATTAATATTTCTAGAGAGAGAGAATGGGTAACCTGATTGGCAAAACCGATTCCCAAGCCGAGCAAAATACGACCCAAATATAGCATCCAGACTGCTTGAGCAAAGCCATTGATGAAAGCCCTAGCAAGGAAAAGTAGACCCCCAAAGAGCATTGACAACTTTCTTCCCAGTCTTCCCGTCACGTAAGACGCTAGAGATGATAACAGTACATTCAAGTAAAATGAAGATGTAAACTTGGTCAGTCTCTGACTATCGAACATGCAGTACTAGTTCTTCGAGTTAGTAACAGCTTTTTGCTTCTCGTAGACAGATGGAAACAACTTGACCAAAAAAGAATCCATCGATGTTACCCCACCTGCATGATTGCACATAAGATCCAATGATCAAAAACTGATACAAAACATTATTCAGGATCAANTCGCAGAATAGAATTATCCAAGGGTGCTTCACTTTCTTAGATGCCTCACTAGCTGCAACTAAATCATTGAACTTCTCATCGACGTTTTCCACACCGCGAATTCTTTGAAGTTTAGCTCAAGCCTCTTTTGTCTTGCCATGCTCGATCAACAAGTTTGGTGTCTCAGAAGGACTAGTGACCCAACTGTGATTATAAGGGTCGGGACCATAGCACCTCCCAAGCTCAAACGCCACCCCCAGCTGCCATCAACCTTAGCAAAGAAGTAATTCAGCACATTGGCTATGAGGATACCAATTGTGATGGACAAAGCCGATGTTAAGGGCACCACTGTATTTGGAAGGGGCCATCTCAGAAAGGTATAGTGGCACAAAATGTGAGGCATAAGCACAAACAAACTAAAATATATCAATACCATATGCAGTTATCAATTGATTAAGTAGACAGAAGAAAACGAGAAAAAAATCAAAAAGAAGAAAACATGTCTAGTGATACAACTAATCCGTGTTATTGTTTTATCAAATATGAAGCCAATCAAACTTATAATTCAGATCAGTTTATCAAAGTTATTTTTATAAGAGAACTGGTATCAAAATCCCAGGAAAAAAATCATAGAAACTTGACACATAAATATAAGAATTTGTTTAGAGTCAGCTTTATAGTAAAAATACATCTGTCAGCTTGGAAACACATTTGTCTGATCAGTTCTTTTCAGTAAAAATCTGAAAATAGTAATAACATGTTCCAAGCACTTTTCTTGTTCCCAGAAGCCAATCGTAATAGAGTTGTGCTTTTGAAAGTTAAGAGGCATGCTTCAAAATTGATAATAAGTTCTCAAAGTAGGGAAAAAAGTATAGAAGGACATGGTACAAGACCTGAACAAGCAAAAAATTGATACAATCATATTAATATTTCTAGAGAGAGAGAATGGGTAACCTGATTGGCAAAACCGATTCCCAAGCCGAGCAAAATACGACCCAAATATAGCATCCAGACTGCTTGAGCAAAGCCATTGATGAAAGCCCTAGCAAGGAAAAGTAGACCCCCAAAGAGCATTGACAACTTTCTTCCCAGTCTTCCCGTCACGTAAGACGCTAGAGATGATAACAGTACATTCAAGTAAAATGAAGATGTAAACTTGGTCAGTCTCTGACTATCGAACATGCAGTACTAGTTCTTCGAGTTAGTAACAGCTTTTTGCTTCTCGTAGACAGATGGAAACAACTTGACCAAAAAAGAATCCATCGATGTTACCCCACCTGCATGATTGCACATAAGATCCAATGATCAAAAACTGATACAAAACATTATTCAGGATCAAGAATGTCTAGGTTTTAATCTCGATAAACTTATAATGAAAGAAAAACAAAAAGGTGAAACAATATGGTTACCCGAAATTCCAATGTCATAATCGAAGATCAAACCCCTTATGCGGGCTGATTTCTGCACAATAAATAAATAAAAACAACTCTCTTCCTCGGTGAACATGTATTTACCTCAAAAGTTGACAATCTGGTGGCAAAGGAACGGCCAAAAGTGGCTGAAGGAGTGGTGGTGAATCGATCCTGTGGCAAAGGGAGGCCCAAGGGGGCCTAAGGAGTAGTGATGAATTGCTCTTCCAGCTGTCTGATTGATTCCAACGTGCATGAGCATTTTCCAGAGTACCTTGACACTCAAAGGAAGGGTTAGAAAGGACGCTGGAATGTTTCCGACGAATTCCCTCTAGCGGTCAAGTCAGTTCCTTGAGAGATGGGAAGAAGAAAACATTGTTTGATGTTCTTGAGAGGTGATTTTGCATACTTTTACACCAAATTTGTGAGTGCTATTTATACCTTCGATGAAGGTCATCATTATTGTCAGACGGGGGCCTAAGGAGTGGTGATGAATTTCTCTTCTAGTTGTCTGATCAATTTTGGCGTGCAGGAGCATTTTCTGGCATATCCTAACACTCAAAGGAGGGGTTAGAAAGGGTGCCGGAATGTTTTTGGCGTATCCCCTTTGACGGCCAAGTCAGTTCTTTGAGAGAGGGGAAGAAGAAAATGATGTTTGATGTTCTTGAGAGATGATTTTACGTACCTTTAAACCACATTTGTGAGTGCTATTTATACCTTCCATAAAGGTAATCATTGTTCAGACGGGTCCAGTCAAGAAAAGGCTTCCCATTGGTCCAGTTGGAAGGCAGCTTGTGGAGCGCAGTACTAGGGCAAAGTGTCTTTCTTGTCACGCCAAAAGAAATCTCTGCATTTAATGTCCGGAGCATTTAATGCACTCCTCCCGGAGTCCGCTGAGCAATAAATGTGTCATATGCTTCTGAGGGATCATTTAATGTCCTTCATTGTGGCTACGGATGCGCTGGAGCATTTGCGTCCTTTGCCATCCAGGAGGTCACATCGTCTAGACTTTGTACTTCGTGGACTCTCTCTATTGGTCACCAGGTTGCCTATCTTGTCATTCTGACTACATTCGGAAGAGGGTTTGATGATTAAGAGCCGCCCCCACCTCTGATGTGGTGACATCATTTTTGAATTTTCTAAGAACTCCGTCATTCGCAATAGCCCAAGTCCCAAGGTGATCGCCAACACCTTAGCATAGTGGAGGTCTAGACGCCGAGAACACTTGTCATATGATGAAGACTTTGAGGTGCTTTTAGCTTTGAGATGACGGGTTATGTAAAGAGTGCTCTGCGGACAAGATGTCGAGGACTCCGCGGACAAAGTGTCGTGGACTCCGAGGTGTCGAGGACACGTGTCTTGTCCCCTTTGATCATAGAAAATGTCCCATCACCACCCATGGTAGCAGCGATGCAGATTATAAGGAGATAGGTAGTAAGCTTGCCCGGATATTCGGGTATCACCAGCAATCCCTCCGCCAAACAGTGCGATAGAAAAAAAAATAGAGTTGAGGCTTGCAGAATGAATATGGTAGAGAAAGCAAAGTTGAGAGAAAAGCATTGTAAGTGGGAGGGAGTGGGAGAGAATATTTATAGAGAGGTTAGCATGAAAATCAAAAGGACACCAAGGAGGTAGATTTGAGTATGATATGGAAAGCACATACTCCTAATCACTGTTAAATTTCTCCAGCAATCCATGTAGAATAATAACTCAAATGTTGGAATCTCTTTATCCATGTAAAAATATGATTTACAGTACTACTTGGATATTAATTAAGACGATAGACGGTTCATTCATGTTGGATACCAACAAAGTAATAGACGGTTCATTCATGTTGGATGCCAAGAAAGTGTGGTAATAAGGGCTTTGTTTTTGGATAATACGAGACTGAGCCCTGACAAGTGCTAGCCCTTTAACCCAGAAATCAATGGGTCAAGGGCAGACACGATCCGTGGCAGCCTAATATCTCAACGGGTATGGGTATGGCCATGCCTTGTATTTTTGGCCCATTAATCCTGGTGATCAGTCTTATTAAGGCCCTAATCTGCTCATAATTTGTTGGAAAACATTCTAAAAATAATAAAAAATAGGTCATTTTTTTTAAAAATTATTCCCATTTAACTTGTTCGATGGGTAACTATACGGGGAATAAATCCACACAAAAGGTAACCACCTCGTATGGACGAAGAGAGTGGTGAAGAAGCCTCACTGAAATGGCAAGACAAGAGAATACCTGGGTGAACTCATGGCCGGAGGTGGCCAAATGGACTCCAATACTTAAGTCAGATTGCAAGTCAGAGAGAAGTATTGAGTGAAAATGTTCTGATTGAATTCCATTACTCAGTACCCAGACCTTTATTTATAGTGATAGGGAGATGTGTCCCAAAGGAACCCGAAGTCTTGGTTGATTGCCTCAACCTTATTACCAGGTCCTAAAAGTAGGGGTATAATTAGATTGGGATTCTTGGCCGTAGATCCTTATCTACAACTCCTAGATATTTGGAGTGGTATTTGATTAGAAATCTAGGTGCCATGATGATCCTTATCTATGTAAGAATCTTTCGGATATGGTGTGTGATAGAGCTTATCATAACTTAAGTGGCAAGAAGGTGGTTGACTTGTGCAAGCTTTAGGTAACGAATATCAAATGAGGACCTTCCATAGACAAATGCTGACTGGTAGAGCTTGCTTTGCTTTTTGCCGATTGGTAGTGACCTTGGCGTGCCTCTTGTTGACTGGCAAAGGCTTGCCTTGCCTTTTTTCCTAGTGGCAAGGTTGGCTTGCCTCATTCCGAGTGGTTAGGGCCAAGTTGCCACATGCGAGTGGCAAAGGCCACATTCTACCATGCCAAGTGGCATAAGCGACCTTCCACTTAGGTTGAGTATTTTGGTCCCCAAAATTGCCCCCATACCTCAATTAACCATTTTTCATTAGTAGAGGTATGAGTTTTAAGATTAGATATTTCGCAGGCCCAAGTCATTGGTAACTAACTTATTTTGCCTAGAAGACTAGGGATTTAATTGCCTAAGTTGCTTAGGGCTTTATATTCACTTCCTCCTTCCTTCATTTCTCATATTGCTTTGGAATTCAGCTAGAGGGAAGAGTGAGGAGGAAACTTTGCGCCTGTGGAGCCATCTACGACGTCGTAGTCGTTGAAACCTCTGTTACTTAGAGATTACCTTTTTAAGGTAAATTTGAAATTTTTTTTACAAGTTTCAAGAAAAATCTTTGAATGTTCTTCATTTCTTTGCATGAATTTTTGAATATTCTTTGTGTGTTCTCCATGTGTTCATTTTGATTCTTAGACTTATAAAATTTCATGACCTTGCATGTTTGTAACTTGAAACGAGGGATTCGAGCTTGGGTATTGAGAACATCAGTTGGCATGCACAAGCCAAGGCATTTGTTGACTGGCAGTGGCCAGTCAAGGCTTGTGTCGATTGACAGTAGCCAG